CAGTTTCAAGCTAAGGAGTATAAAGGGAGATTTGTTTTACTCAGTTATGTTTCCTGCATAAGGCCAAACTGCAGTTAATTAAAATGGAAGCTAGAAATGGCAGGAAGAGCTTCCATCGAAACTCTGCTCCCCATCTACCGCCAGAGGGGACAATAATAGTACTTTACAGGGTTGGAAACTCAGACCAGAAAAAAAACATCAAATCACATTGAATTCTTGAATTTAGTAGCCCTGTCATGACGAGAGTTGTACCAGAATTCTGCGTTGTGGAATAAATTTAATTGTGATTCTTACCGCTCCATTCCAATTTCTGGTTTTCTAAGTTCACCACTCTCTGTGTTTGGATTTCATTGAATAGTGTACAGTTAGTCCTTGATTTAGGACTACAGTTGAGCCCAAAATGTCTGTTGCTAAGCAAAGTCATTGTTAAGTGAGTTTCCCCCCCCCCCATTTTATGACCTTGCCATATTTGGTAAGTGAATCACTGCAGTTGTTAAGTTAATAACACGGCTGTTAAGTGAATCTGGCTTCCTCATTGACTTTGCTTGTCCGAAGGTTACAAAAGGTGATCACATGATCCCTGGACATTGCAACCGTCATAAATACAAGCCAGTTGCTAAAGGTCTGAATTTTGACCACATGACCATGGGGATACTGCAATGGTCCTAAGTGAAAAATGGTCATGTCACTTTCTTCAGTGCTGTTGTAACTTCGAACGATCATTAAATGAATGGTTTTAAGTTAAGGACTACCTTTAAACTCTCCCTCCTCCCTTGCCCTATGAATATATTTTAAAGATTTCTGGGTGCGTTGGCAAATTTTGGGATCTCCTCTTCAACTTGCCCCTTGTGCCTGGTTTTGGATTCCCACAATAGGTACTTCAAAATGAGAACAGTAGAAATGGAGTAGATCAGGGGTCCCCAACCGGTCCACGGCATGCCAGAAACTGGGCTATGGAAACAAGTGAAGCCCTATCTGTGGGGATGCAGACAGCACGCAAAACCACACCCCCTCCGGTCCACAGAAAAACCTTTCTCCACAGAACCGGTCCCTGGTGCCCCAAAAGGTTGGGGGCCTCTGCAGTAGATTATTACAGGATCCAATCTGGGTTAGTCACGGGGACCAGAGGTTTACTCTTCTGCGCTTTCAGACTTGGGCTGGAGCCCACCCTCGGGGCTTCTCTCTCACCAGAATGTGTCAGCTGCCACTTCATGCTTTTGCTTTGCATTCAGTACCAGCTGCCATGAACTCAAGGGGGGGGGGGCTAGATGGGGGGGGGAAGCTTCAGGGGAAACGAAAGCTTACTGCATCTCTCTGAGAGAAGCTTCAAGGTCAGATGGCTGGGAATGGAGCAGAGCTGTATACCAAATCTACCCCTGAATTGACCGTTCTAAAACCATCTTGTTCACATGGGGGAACCAGGGATGGGAGGCAGCTAGAGGAGGGAAATGTTACACTTGGAAACTTTTGGCATGCACTTTTCAGTTTTGGCTTTGACTTACTGTAATTCACTTGACTTCTAGTCAGCTATTCCTCTCTCTCACCCAAATTGAGTTAAGGATCATTCTTACTTAGAGGTTCAAGCTGAGACAGGCCTGACAGTGTAACACATTCTGGTGAGAGAGAAGTTCCCTAAGGATGGGCTCCAGCATCCTCGGAAGCTTGGAAGACTAAACCTCTGGTTCCGGTGACCGACCCAGATTGGATCCTGCAACATTATCCTGGGTACCTATATTTGCCTTCATCCGTGAGTAGATTATTATTTGCCATGTAGTAGAACACAGAATGGGCATAAAGGGGAGAGAAAAGATTCAGAGTGACACCAAAACTTAAACTTTGCACCAAAGATGTATTGGGAGGCCGCAGAAGGCTCTCTTAGAGGTATACAATTGCAGCAACACAGAGGAGCTTTTTCTAAGTATAAGTATTCAGAAATCATATTTTACATGTCCAAAACACCACAGCCTGGGCTCAGCCCTTTTAGTAATAATCTTCAATAGCTCAAGAAGGAATTACATTTAAAAAAAAATCAAAGTACCTTTTTTTCCTTCTTGCAGCTGAACTGGGTGTAAGATAACCTCCAACCTTATACTCTGCAAGTGCTCTTAGAAGGGCCTGGGAATTTAAAGAGTTGTAATGCCCACCTCCTCCAGAGGGCTCAAGGTTGGTGAATGTTACCTTTGGGCTACCTGGGCCAATAACTCACCCATTTTGTTTTATTTTTTTACAGAAAATGTTGCACCCCTTCCCAAGCTGGTAAAAAATGAGCTAGATCATGCTGGTTGAGAATTAATGGTGCCCTGATCCAGCACATCTGGAGAGCACCATTAGGGGATTTAGTAGAAACATACAGGTGCAAAATTCACTGCTTAGTTTAAAGCAGCCTTCACCCAGACAAAGGAAATGCTGCAGGTAGGAAGAAATTCTATGTTAGGCTAAGCTACCTGGGCAAGCAGTTCAGTCTCATCTTTTCTGGCTGTAGTGGCTTTCAAAATCTCAAACAGGGAAGGATAATTTCGCTTGGACCGGCCCTGGAGCTTTTTCAGTGTGCAAACTATCCCTGCTAATTGATGTGCCAGCCAGCTCTGATCACCCAGTGATATCTTGCACTTGAAGGCCTCTCTATGGTCATTGTGGAGAAACAGAATGCAAGAGGGAATACTGTATGCCTTTTTTTTGGAATCCAGCAGGTTTCCTATCCCTATAATCTGGAGGAAAGCAGAGAGGAACAGAAGTCCCAAGTTGGATCCTCACACACACACACATTCAGGGGGACTGGGATATATAGGATTAGGCAACCTTTTTGACCATTTGGGAATGCGACAGCATGTGGTAGCTGCAATTACAAAATGGCTACTGGGGTATGTGCATGTGTTCATCCACAAAATGTCAGCCACAAATAACACAGGTAATCACAAATCATTCATCTATGAGAGCCCATAAATGAGTCAGTGTGAGCTTTCCTGCTCGTCAGTTGCCTTTTGACTTAAGAATGGGGAAGGAGGCCTGTTGTGACAGCAAGGAAAACAGCCTGTCTGGGTACTTAACCATGGTTTTCTGAATGAATCCAATTGTCTTGTGTCAGCACAACAGCCAGATTTGCAAATTAACCAGTCAGAGTTTGCATTTCACATTCATTCTAGTTTCAACTTGTGCAGACCTTTGTCAATGGTCATCTCAACACACGTACTATTCAGCTAAAATTTTGGGATAAAGGGTCATGCACAAATGATTTGTTGTATACATTATCTGGCATTTCCATCAATACAGTTAGTGAAGACTGCCATTACTGAAGAGCTATCTGTGGTATTAATCACAGCTAGGTCTGGGGTTCCACGGGAGATCTTAACACGTGTGATCCAGTATCCCCTAGTTAGTATGCCTTGATTTGGTTGCAAATCCAGGGCTTTCTATTCCTCTGTTTTCCTCTCAATGGATGTTTTAGTCTTCTTCCTTCCTTCCCAATAAAAACGGGAGCATTCAATTTCATTTTTCAGCTGCAATGTTAATAGCACAACCAGAAATATTCCTGCATTTCATACTAAATGTGTGTAGGACGATAGTCTAAAATGGTTTACTCAAGAGGAAGCAACACAATTCAACATTTTTTTTCTCCTTAAGTATGCTAGTCCACCATCGATCCATACGATCTAGTTTCTGGTTGCTGACCAGCACCCTGGCACATCCCAGCCAGGCTGGGTCATCTTGGAAGCAACAGCTGGCAGAGCACAGCTGCCAGGGTCACCTTTTTTCATTGGCGGCAAGTCAAGGCCAAAACAAAGACTACTGTATATTTGGCTTAGTTTAATTTAAACGAACTTAAATCTGTTCCATTCACATGATTACTTCCTACATATTAAACAAGTTTCCCTATTGGTCACATGAACAATCTTAAATTTAGTGATTGGCAATGTTTGGAAGAGTTGTGTGTGCTGCATCCAAGGGTTGAAGGGGGAGGGAGACATGGTTTGAGCCCCCAGGCTAACATGAGTTTATCAGAGAGGGAAATCTTAGTGTTATAATCTAAATATGGGCTTTGGCTTCTTGCTCCTCTAATCAGACCAGCTTTGTAAATTAACTCCAGATCAGGATTTGCTAGAGCAGAGACAAACCAAGAGATGATAGGATGGGCATGAAGCTTAACTGAGACTCAGCAACCTTTTGATGAGACAGATCTAATGATAGCAGGGACACACACACACACACACACACACACACACACACACACACACACAGAGAAAGGTGGGTTTTGGCATTGTCACCTGAACTCTCGAGATCTTACGAAATCCTGCTAGATTTGGCCATTGCAATTGCAGTATGTTTCCAGGGCCATTTTGAGTTTTATGGGCACCAACAAGGCGTGCCACAGGCCAGAGGGTATCCATGAAAGCTTGTTGCCGATTCCTGAAAAGCCACGTTGGTTGAGAAGTTAGGAAAGTTGAAGTCCAACCCATTCACAAGCCCGGATTGAAAAATGCTACTTCCTATTCCAGTCATTTCTGGGTACAAGACCCAATCTGGCTAGCAAGAGGATCTCCAAACAACATGAACACGCTGCTTTTCTCTGATCAAATGGCATCACCAGCAATTCCAGGTTCGCAGTTTCCATGTGATTACAACTGTAGCATATACCAACTACACCAACCAAAGGGGAAAAACAAAAACAAAAACAACAGCATAATAGTGGCATTTCGCTTCAGAGCTGAATGCCAAAAAAAACCTTCACAGTGCTTTAATCCCAAAGATTCTTTCTTCATCTCCTCCCTGCCTTGAAGATATTTTTTTTTTTATTACTATTTTGTAAAAAGCTACTGGGAGTCAATTGCCTATGCAATAGTCTTTTGTTTCATCACTTCTTCGTGGCATGACAATATTCCTCCCGTGCTCTCTTTGGAGTAAAAAAGAAAAAAAAGAAAGAATCACCCACCCCATTGCTAGGAAATACTGAGAAGAATTCTTTGTCTCAAAATACACGTGGGTCCCATTCTAAAAAAAAAAAAAATTAATATTTTTCAGGTTGACTGACTTGGAGTGCATTGATAACACCGTTGATATTTTCTTCTGGAACCTGTGAGGAGAAAAAAAAAACAAACCAAAAGGTTCAAGAGGGTAAACTGACATTTTGGATAACAATAGCATTTAGGCTTATATACCACCCCATAGTGCTTTTCAGCACTGTCTAGGTGGTTTACAATGCAAGCATTATTTGCCTATTGCCCCCAACAATCTGGGTCCTCATTTTACCAACCTCGGAAGGATGGAAGACTGAGTCAACCTTTACCCCTGTCAAGATCGAACTCCAGTCTGTGGGCAGAATTTGCAGGATTTTTTCTCCTGATCAGATTCAGCCTATCAGGGTGTTCAAGCTCTGCTGTTCTAGATCCCCACCAGCAGTGGGAGCTCTATGTTGGCCCCATGTTATAAAAATACTTTGCATATGTGAGGTACCTTCTTGCTTGCATTTTGCAGAACAGAGAAAGCCACTCTATTCTAATGGGACTACTGGTGTGGATGATAGCTCTAGTCCACATCTTTTGGATTATGTTGTGTTAGGTTTATTTTTCTATTATGCTGTAGACCAATGTTTCTCAGCCTTAGCCACTTTAAGATGAGTGGACTTCAACTCCCAGAATTCTCCAGTCAGCTACGGTGGCTAGGAAATTCTGGGAGTTGAAGTCCACATGCCTTAAAGTTGCCAAGGTTGAGAAACACTGATTTTTAGACTGTCAATAGATTGTCTGCATAGGAAAAAGACAATGAAGAAACTCCAATTTTGTTGTTAGACCCAGCCTCTGCTCATCTCTGACCTTATATTTTCACTGAAGTGTGGGAAGTTAAGCGCTACGGGCAGTCCTCAACTTACAACAGTTCATTTAGTGACCATTCAAAGTTACAACAGCACTGAAAAAAGTGACTTATGACCAATTTTCACACTTACAATCCTTGTAGGATTCCCATAGCCACATGATCAAAATTCAGATGCTTGGCAACTGACTCATATTTATGACAGTTGCTGTGTCCTAGGGCCATACGACCACATTTTGCAACCTTCTGACAAGCAAAGTCAATGGGGAAGCCAGATTCACTTCACAACTCTTTTACCAACTTAACTGCAGTGATTCACTTAACAACTTTGGCAAGAAAGGTCGCAAAATGGGGCAAAATTCACTTTAACAACTGTCTTACTTAACAACAGAAATTCTGGGCTCAGTTGTGGTCGCAAGTCAAGGACTACCAGCATTATGCAATGAATCAACCCCTTGTAAATAAGGTAAATGCAACCGTTTCATACTTCTCTCATTAATATTTCACAATTTTTTCTTCTTCCCTTTGGAATGTAAACAACTTACTTTTTATTAGGCCAAAGGAGAATGATCAAAACCAACTCTGAAATAAAGATTTGGTGTTGCACTAGCAGAAATGAAGTGTGCATGGAGGCAAGAATTAACTACCTCAGCTTTCTCCCTTGACTCGACAAATTCTCTGCCTGGAGCTTATTTATAGGTATATGAGCATTAGTAAGGTGAGAGCCTCACCTGAAGAGGTAGGGCCAGCTGCAGATGTTATCACATGAGTGAGAAATAGGTCAGTGTGTTAGTTTTGAGACAGGAGTGGATGGGCTTATCTCATTGATATGGTTAATGTTCAAGGAAAGTAAACCCAACAAATCTAATCATTTGACCTTCACTATCTGAGACCATGTTGACTTTCTGCTCTTAAATACACACTAAGGCTTCCAAGCTGGAAAAAGAAGGCGATGCTAATAGCAAAGGGGGGGGGGGAAGGAGAAGCAATTTTGATTTTTCTGCTCAAGCTTTTAATGGGTTAAAGGTCAGCAGGTGGAAAGGAGCTTAGTGCCTTGTTAATAGGAAAAATAACGGACACCCCCATGAGAATTGGAAGGGGGGGGGGTTTGGTGAGGGCAGAAATACACAATGCCTGGCTTGAAAAGTCAAATACTCCAGGTGTGGTGTCAAATAGATGAGAAAAACTGTTGAGAATTTGTGTAATTCTCAACACCTCCCCGTAATGATTCGGTAAAGAATGGTCGATTTTGGCACTGAAACTTGTTGGAAGTGAATTTGCATGCTTCAAATATTTTCTGCATGAATGTGAGGTGGGCAAAATTTGGTTACAGTTGATTCTTCCCTGGGGGGGGGATATTTTATATTTCCTTTTTAAAGTGTACAGTGTGATAGAGGGTCATTCCAGGAGGTGCTGGAGAAGAAACCAGTATTCACAAAAAGCCCCCCCAGGTTTTTCAGATATTCTTGGCTTTTTAATAAGGAAACAGGAATAAAATTCCCACAACCAGCACATATGCTTTTCAAAAAATAAATCCAAACTTTTCTATTTTTTTTTGGGAGGAGGGCATTACATTTTTAAAGAAAATGGCAAATCAATACAAAATGGAAAGTCATCCCTACCGACAAGGGCAATTTGAAAGGTTTCAAACCTTGAGCCAAAGGCAGGAGGGAATTTTGTTAAGGTAGCTTTCCTCCATGAGCCCCATACAAATAAGCAACACAATGTCCTTCAGAATCTTGTTCTTTTTATAAGAAAGATTAAGCCTGAGGCTTAGCTGGGAAAAATATGTTTCCAACCTCTCCAGGTAAAATTACTTTTGAATCTATGGACAGCTGCTTACTGGTCATGCAAATAAACTTTCTCCAAGTCGGGGCTCTTTTGAGGTGTTGGCTAACACTGTCTGGAGATACGCAACATATGAGAAAGGCAGAGTGGGAGTAGCATAGACATTATTCATCTCAAATCAACTCACCAGTGCATGATCAAACTTAAAAGTACTGATGTAATAGGCAGGGATGTCTGCGGCAGCTAAAGGCTCGGAGATCTGAGCCACGATTCCACACTCATCTGGGGAGAGGAAAAAGCTCATTAAAATTCACAATGCCAAAAAGAGAGCTGGCTGTAGTTGTCCGAGCCCCAATAACATCCAAATTAATTTATAGCAACACTCCGCATAGAGTGGCCTATTCACATTATTCAGAACCCTCTGCTTAGTTTATGAACCAGAAACCCCTTTAAGCATCGTTGCAACAGAGATTTCAGCAACTCTCCCCTGTCTCCAAGACCTTGTGAAATTTCAAAGCTCATAGAGTCTATAGCAGACATATCTATATCTGCCAGGCAAAACTAGTGAAATCTCGCTGGAGTGGATCCATACTTTCCCCCACCCAAAATCAACTTTAGAGCTTCACAAAAGGCCACTCGTAGGTGCTGCATTGTTGGTAAATTGTAAATTAACTGTTAAAGCAGAAGCATGCTTTTGTTTCAATCTGAATGGGATACCAGACCACATTTTCACTTGTTCTAAACATAAATAAAAAGATATAAATAGTGGCATGTTTTTATGATTTCTACAAGACCATTATTATTATTTTAATGGCAGAATGGACAGTTGCCTTTTGCCTATGGTAGAAATTCTTTTTAGTCCCTCTGGAACCTGCTGGAAAAATAAAATGGCGGGACAGTTGCAGTTTGCCTGATTCATAAAAATGAAATGACGGAAGACACTAGGACAGTGGTTCTCAACCTTTTTAATGCCGCAACCCCAACCGGTCATAAGTCGAGGACTAAACCGGTTGTAAGTTGAGGACTAAACCGGTCGTAAGTCGAGGACTAAACCGGTCGTAAGTCAAGGACTACCCAACCGGTCGTAAGTCAAGGACTTTCCCTGCCAGGGAGTGCCGCGCATGCGTGGTTCCGCCCCCTGCGCCGGCCGAGGCGTAGCTGGCAAGCGGCAAAGACGGAGCAGGCCGACCACCAGCTGGCCCAGCTCAAGGGAGGTAAGGCACCCGCCGGAAAAGGGGGAAAAAAATGGCGGACAAAAAAAATGGCGGACAGCCTTGCTTGGCGACCCCCATGAAATGGTCAATCGACCCCAAATGGGGTCCCGACCCACAGGTTGAGAACCACTGCACTAGGAAGTGGCTGCTAAAATCATCTCTGTAGCAGGAGACAGAAAGAGCTGTTCTTCCCTGCCTGTTCTTTAGAAACTACAGCCCTTCAAGGCAATAAGGATAAGATGTGAATAATACATTCCGAGAGATATTTAGTTTACTTATCGTGTGGACACAGATATATTGTAAGGTGATTTAGCTGGGGGAGGAGGGTGCATAGTTCTTCTGGCACTATTTTTAGAGTGAGAATTAAGATTTAAATCTTCAGAACTTGTTTGTTTGCTGATTTTGCAACAAAGGAAAGCCAATCCTTCTGTGTTACGTGCCTCAGTGAGGAGCGCTCCTGATGTTCTGGCCCAGATCTTTTACCAACCTGTCTCTCAGTGGGCAAGGATTATGGGAACTGCAGTCCAAATTGCTTTAAATTCTGGGCTGAAAATGAAGCATGGATGTGGCTCCGTTAACGGATATAGGCTATTTTCGTCTCCAGTTTTCCCCAAGGTTCTCAGTATTCAGAGCATCTAAGAGCAGCTGGATTATTTTGCTGACTTTCTCTACAGCAGTGTTTCTCAACCTTGACCATTTTAAGGCATGTGGACTTCAACTCCCAGAATTCCACAGCCAGCAATGCTGGCTGTGGAATTCTGGGAGTTGAAGTCCACATGCCTTAAAATGGTCAAGGTTGAGAAACACTGCTCTACAGAGAAAACGGTCACAAGCAATAGTAAAAAATTGAAAGCCTCATTATCAATGCAATGATGGTCAATTTACTTTGGCACTCTCACAGAAGCCTTCTTCTCTCCTCTGCTGAAGGAAGTCTCAGATTTATGAGACTTTCCTCCCTTTCCAGCCCCATCAAAAGAAAGGCACCCTGGCATATTAGAAGAGACTGCAGAGATTGTAGCAGTGACAATATCGCTGCCCCTAGAAATCTTACTTTCCTGTAACTGATCTGCAAGCTGGCTTGCAAGAAGAATGAACGGTCACTGTCATATAAAACTAATGGGCCAAATCTGCCTTCTTTTTCTTTCTGTCTCTGAAAAAGGGATGTTTCCAGAAGGTCATCCATTCCCTGCTGTCACTTACTGTCCCTCTTCTCTGGCATTTCCTTGGCCTCAAAGCATTTGTGAAGGCAGGGGAGAGCGGTTAAACAAGCCATAAACAGCCATGCAGACTACAAAGTACATAATCTTTATTGCAAGGAGAAGGTAAGGAAGCACAGAGAGAAAAGGGGAAGCCTGCAGACTTACTCATGTGGGATTTAATGCAATACAGTTAAAATTCCTGGGAGGCAGAGTAACAGAGAAAGTTGAGATACCGAATAAAACTTTAGATAATAGGGAGGCAGGCAGCTATCAGGGTCAGCCCTATCATTAGACAGAATGAGGTGACTGCCTCAAGCAGCAGGCACTGAACTATGATTCAGTGTGTTTATTCAGACATCCTCAGCATATGGAACTGTATTATCACATATCTTAAAGTATTAATACCACTTTACAATGCTTTGGTAAGGCCACACTTGGAATACTGCATCCAGTTTTGGTCACCGCGATGTAAAAAAAATGCTGAGACTCTAGAAAGAGTACAGAGAAGAGCAACAAAGATGATTAGGGGACTGGAGGCCAAAGCATATAAGGAAAGGCTGCTGGAATTGGGTATGTCTAGTTTAACGAAGAGAAGGACAAGGGGGGACATGATAGTAGTGTTCCAATATCTCAGGGGCTGCCACAAAGAAGAGGGAGTCAAGCTATTCTCCAAAGTGCCTGAAGGCAGGACAAGAAGCAACGGGTGGAAACTAATCAAGGAGAGAAGCAACCTAGAACTAAGGAGAAACTTCCTGACAGTGAGAACAATTAACCAGTGGAACAACCTGCCTCCAGAAGCGATGAATGCTCCAACACTGGAAGTTTTTAAGAAGAGACTGGACAGCCATTTGTCTGAAATGGTATAGGGTTTCCTGCCTGAGCAGGGGGTTGGACTAGATGACCTTCACGGTCCCTTCCAACTTTACTATTATTATTATTATTAACTTGAAATCATAGCCCTTCCCTTCCCCAAAAGCTCTTTTAGAAGTTGCCACCAGATTGTAATTTTTAATTATGACTTGAGATGACACTTATGAAACATATAAGGAGCAATGCTATTCACTCTATGTAATCACTGTATTCAACTGAGTAGGCACTAAATCAAATTTAAATGTCCTGTAAGCCTCTCTAGCACACTATTCAAAGATCAGTGTGGCTCTTGGCCTGGAAAAGGGTTATTTAATCCTAATATAGACAATGCTCAAATCTGAAAGAGATCTGGATTCAATCACCATTTGGCCATGAAGCTTTTCTGAGTCACCTTGGAACAGCTACTTTCTTATCGTTTGCAATCATTTGGTAACAGAACTGCCAATCAAAACACATTAACACAGAGTACCTCCCCCCCATTTATATTTTTGGGGAGGTGGGAATTAAGGGGAGAGAGAGTTGTGTGGGTTGGAGGGAAAGTCAGATTCTGAGCCTAAGAAAACGTCCATCTCTCTGAATGACATTAGATGGGTTGCAACTTTTAAAATGATTTAATAAAGTTAATGTTTAACTGAGGGATCCAATTAACCAAGTGACTGTGCAGTGTTATACTTTTCCCAAGTTTTGCCTTCTCAAGTTACCACAGATGTATTTGGAAATATGATGAAAAAAGAACTTGCAAAGAAGGGGAGGGCTTGATGATGACATCAAAACCATTAAAACCCGTGTCTGTTTGTTTGTAGCCTTCAACTAAGCCAGGGGTAGGCAACCTTGGCTCTTTTATGACTCGTGGACTTCAACTCCCAGAATTCCTGAGCCAGCATGGCTGGCTCAGGAATTCTGGGAGTTGAAGTCCACGAGTCATAAAAGAGCCAAGGTTGCCTACCCCTGAACTAAGCGAAATGGAGCATCACAGGGCAACCATTTTGAATCAGCTTATCTCAGATGTGCTCACTTACAGAATGCATCCAAAATGCAGGAGCCATGACTCAGGTGGGATTGAAATTTGCAAAGTTCATCATTTCTAATGCTCCCTGCCAGCTTCCTTCAAAGAAAATTAATGGGGAAGCCGGCAAGAAATTGGAAATCACTCCTGGTCCCACCGATTTTTGCCTGCCCGTCACTTTATGACTGCGTCGCTTAGCCATGGTCCCAATTACTGCCATTAAACAAGGACTACCTGTAATACTTTCAGAATAATGATTCCTTAACATCAGCTTGGAGGAGCATTTAGCAACAATGGCATCTTTCAGATTATCTTCCCAGTGATGCACTTTTTGACATTATTGAGTGTGTTTCAACAATATTAGTTTTTTTTAAAAACAACAACACAACAACCCCAAAAGGAGCAGAGGGGTTTGTCCTGATCCTGATGGTACAACAGAGAAAGGCAGAGGGCAAACAGCCAACCAGTATGATGTAACATACCAAAGCCAAGAGGTTGCCCTCCAATGCGAACCATCTTCCAGAGTTCTCCTGATGCGCTTGTAAACAACAGATTATTAGGAAATCTAAACAGAGAAAGAGACAGAGAAAATAGCAGAAAAAGACAGAAGTGTCAAAACAATATATATAAAGAAATACAATCAATTCTGACAATCAGTTCTGACTCAATAATTCAATGGTGTCTGCACACATATCTATCCATCCATCATCTATCTGTCTGTCTGTCTGTCTGTCTGTCTGTCTGTCTGTCTGTCTGTCTGTCTGTCTGTCTGTCTGTCTATCTATCATCCTATTTTTCAAAGGATGGTTTGGTTTAGTCCATGAAGAGAGCCTGGGAGTATAACTAGAATTTTGAGCCCATCTCAGGAAATGGCTACCTGGAGGAACTTGTCTTTTTATAAAATGGTGGTCGGTGGGCATGGCTAGTTATGAAACATCTGTTTTTCAGAAGGTGGAGGAGTTCCTTAGAATACTCTTTATTTCACTCCAATCAATCAAATATTTATTACGGTTATAGATCAACATATATCCCACTCTAGGGAAACCTAAACACATTCTTGAAGATAAGCGTGATTCTAAAGACTGGCATATTGACTGTGCAGCATGCATCTTTCTATCTGATTTTTAAAATAAAAAATATTTTAAAAGACCAAGAGAGTTATGGAGGCATCCAAAAATATTCCTGTAAAAAATGGTTAATGGTTACATATCTGAGGTTGGAACAAGAAACCCTTAATTATTCTGGGAATCTTTTCAATCCCTTCTTGACAATGCACATAACTTTGAGACATCCAAAACTTTGACCAGTATTTCAGATTTGTTCCAATTCTTACCTTTTCTGCGTCTGTACATCCATCACCAAAGAAATGTATCCCTCAATGAGAGAAAATGAGAAAAAACGAATGTGTTCAGAATCTTCATTGCTTGCCACTAAATCTTTTACTCTGGAGTAAAGAAAGAGCCAAAGATAAGCATAGTTAGGGTCCATTCAACTTACGCAAAGTCTACTGGATGTGAACTGAGGCTATCAAATTACTGTTCCTTGTTATCACGGTTTGGAGATGTATTCATACTGGATTTATGAGTTTTTTTCTCAGAGTCCTAGAAAGCTGAGAGGGGTTTTTCTAAACATCATTTCTCAAATTGTCAATCTACAGCTGCCAGAGGATTTCAACATTGCCTAGAAGGGTCATGAAACCTATTTTGTTCCTAAATAGCAGTTAAGAGCAGAAGATGTGATATTTTCAATAATAAAAAATAAATTATTCTTTACTTGAATTTAAACTTAAACACTGCCTTCACAAAATTAGATGAGGGCACTCTTTCAGTAATAATTATGTGATGCTCCGGCCTTCTTCCTAGTGAAGGCCATTAAAAGGTTTTTAGCCTTTTCAAGTATATCCCAGGATTAAGAAGTCTGAGAACCTGTTTTCTGGACCATATTCCCTTGGTGTCTATGGAGATTCTCAATCATCCTGGTTATGGTTGTTTCTTGTTTGAAAGTTGATGCTGAAAACCTTTGAAAGTTTTACTTCTCATCCAAGAAGCTAAATGACTGGTGGGGAATGGAAGTGTTCAGCAGTGCCAAAAGGGTTCCACACCCATTTATACTCTGATTCAGGTGACCCCAAGGATACAGATAATCCCCCAAATGGCCTCAAAGACTCTCAAAAAGCTAATGGCCAACCCTCAGAGTGCTAACGACCAGATGACTGCGAAGAATATAAAGTCTTCCATTCCCCACCAGTAAGTTAGGATTGAAGAAGCTTCGTGGATGAGAAGCAAAATGTTTTCAAAGGAAAAAAAAAACAAGAAAATCCAGTTGCCTTTTGGAAAAAAGCACCTTTGGGACATGTCCCCTTGGAGTTGAAGAAAAATGAAATATGCCAAATCGCTTGCTAGAATTTGTCAGAACTGCCATGTTGCGCCTGCTACACTTTGCTACCTGCCAATGTCTGCCATGAGCAATGGGGGGGGGGGGGCTGCGGGGCGGGGGAAGGGGGGGCGCGTTTCTGGGGAAACGAAAGTATGCATCATGCTGTCCCATGAGTGGCAGTTCCAAGGTCATCTTGTGGAATGCAGCACCCATCTTTGCCCACCGACCCAGGGACTCTTACAAAACAATTGGTTTGAACGCAATTGGACAAGTACAGCTAACTAAAGAGGGAGGAGGAGAAAGGGGAAAAATTAACCATATGCTTTGGGTATGAAAACTAAGAACCACCTTCACTACACTGTAACCAGTTTGCTTTAGTAAAGTATACTTCTTGCAGCCGTTGTCTCAGAAGTCTTTCTTTGCTAAGTGCCTGACTTGGGATGGCTGATAGAATCTCAGTAAGACTACATGGTTAGTGTACTGCAGCCTTATATGAAAAATAACCAAATGCAGCTGTGCTTTCCCTCTGAATGGATTGGATAACAACACTTGTTGGCTGGGGATGACTGGAGCTGTAGTCCAAGACATCTAGAGCAGGGATCTTAAAACTTGGCCCTTTTATGACTTGCGGACTTCAATTCCCAGAATTCCTCAGCCAGCCATGCTGGCTGAGGAATTCTGGGAGTTGAAGTCCACAAGTCATAAAAGGGCCAGGTTTGAAAACCCCTGCTCTAGAGGCACTAAGGCCAAGGAAGGCTGGTTTAATTTGAGGAGACATTTATTGAAGAAAGGTCTAACTTCATCCTACTGCTATGAGAAATATTCTTAGTGGGATTAAAATAAGCAAGTTTAGGAAAGAAAATGCCCCAGTCTGAACATACCCATTGGAGTAAAACATGACATCCATAAGGAGTGTAGCAACAGAGGGAAGGGTATCAGGGTCCAGGCTGGTGACACAGAACATGTTACTCGGACTGGAAAGGGGGTGGATGACAGGTCTTTGAACTGGAAGAAAGGGACAGAGTCAGCGAGGTTGAAGGCTTCATAATGAAAAAAATAAAACTGCAGTCTGGATTCCCCATTTCTAACACCATTAGAAGTGCAATAATGCAAAAAAAATTTTTACAGAGAGAAAACTAACATGACAGCGAACATTTACTTGGCATGCTAGTTTTCTACATGCAACTTCTTAAGGGTATTCAACCATCCTCATGTCCCGAGTTGCAGACTAATGGCAGATTGCACACAATGGCAACTTGCTTGTAGTGCCGGAGATTGCAATCCTATGTGCCAAAGGAAAGCATCTTGAGGACTATATGTCAGATAGATCTACGGTACTATAGGTAGTCCTCGACTTACAGCCATAACTGCTGTGAATCTCCTTCTCTGCTTTTCAGAGTGTATGAGCTGAAAAACAAGTCTGTCCTTGAAAAACCCTGTACAGGCACACCAACCCTTTCCCCATCATTGGTACTGATAGTAGTAATAAAAAAAGTAGAATGTTGAGGAACATTTATGAGTTGCAGAATTCAATATCCACCCATTTCTTTGACATGCCCCCAAAACAAGAAAACAAACGACTCCCTTCCAAAATAGGAATACTAATTCTGTGTTCCTTTGGAGGCAAGAGTGCTAAGAAACTCTTAAAAGGTAGCTGAAAAGTGGCACAGGAATGGAGAAAAAATATGTTCCTCCAGGCTACACCTATACTCCAGGTTGGAATGATACAAACAGAATTTCCGAGAGGGAAGGAGTTGAAAAGCGAGGATTCTTAGGCACTTATCAATGCATTTGAAAGATATTATCTCCCCTTAGGCAATCCGCTTTTATGGGCTGGATGAGAAAAGAAGCATTAGCCCTGAAGTGGGACAGCTGAAGAAGGCAAGGGAGTTCTTTACCCAGTTTTGGTTTCATAAATCCATTGGTTATCCCAAGGTTATCGGCTGCCACAGTCTCCCCATTCACAACCCTGAGGATGGTGAACTCAGAAGCCAGGGTGTGCATAACAAAGGCCAGGTCCCGCTCACGTACCTGAGGGAAAAAAAGAATTCCTTAGGGGAATGAACACCTCGTCAACTTTCAGGAATTTAATTCTTCATCACTGGAATCAACTGATCTGGGACAGGAGCTGGGAGTTCTTATAGATCACAAACATTTGCACTTTTGTGTGTGAAAGCTATCACCAGACTGGGTTATGGTGGCCATGTTTGTGTTACCAGGTTATTGTCCTGATTCTAACTTTTTCATCATGGATGGCTTGACATAAGATGCTCAACTCTTAGCCCTGGTTTAAAAAAAAAATGCAGCTGCTGCCTTCACACAATACGCTATGCCTGAATAATTACAAATATTGAACAATGCCTCAGTGCAGGGGTAGTCAACCTTGGCTCTTTTATGACTCGTGGACTTCAATTCCCAGAATTCCTGAGCCAGCTTAGCTGGCTCAGGAATTCTGGGAGTTGAAGTCCACGAGTCATAAAAGAGCCAAGGTTGACTACCCCTGCCTCAGTGGGATGGCTTGGTTCAAACTGCATTATAAGTCAAATGAACCACACACAACTCAAATCCATCGTAATATACACTAATATAATGTGTGGGGAGTCAGTTTGATGCAATGATTAAGACACTGGACAAAGAATGAGAAATGCATCCATGCAGTCTTCTTTGGGTCTCTTGAAATGTTTGACTGACCAGGTAAGATTTCTAAACTATTTATGAACTATTCTGAACTGAAGTAAGAATTCAGAACTCTGAACTTCACAAATGACAATTAAGTAGGCCTTTCTCTAAAGCACTTCATGTTCCTTATTCACAATTACTTAGCAACCAAACCTTTTCTGTATTGTTGGAAACTCCTTAAACCTGCTGTTCCAATTTTGCAATAGGTCAACGAATATTGATTGTTAAGTAAGGTTTGTTGAATATATATATGATCATAACATGCCACAAAATATTGTAATACAAATGCTGATGGACAGGATTATTTCTTCCTACTTTTCCATTTCCAATCCCCTGTTTTTAACCCACAACAGATATTTTATCTCCACCAAGTGGTTTATTCCATTCTTCTACAAATAGTCCTCATTTAGTGACTGCCTCATACAGTGACTGTTCGTGGTAATGGTAATGATGAAAAAGCAACTTTGCACCCAATCCTCATATTTAGGACTTTCACAGGTCTCTAAAGCAAAGGAAAGCTGAAATGAGATTGTAAGTACAATCACGGTTTCACTTAGCAACCACACTTCACTTAAATGACCAAGTTGTTGGTCCCAACTGTGGTTAATAAGCGAGGACTGCCTGTACTCAAAAAGCACTCAGCATTCAATGCTTGAACACTTTTGGGTCCTTGCTCTGCATGGCTGATGTAAACGTAATGTCATTTGTGGCTTGGAAACACAGACAGTGTTTCATCTTTTTTATTAGAGAACATTTTTAAAAGGTGCTAAAAATGGACTGGTGGCATTACAGACCTGTTACATATTTGCAAAAGACATAATGCATTGCCCTGCTTACTGAAAGAAGTTGAGCAAGGTCTGAAGAATAACAATGTAAAATTCTAAACATTTAACCAACAATTTCAAAATGTGGATCGTAATGTATACGGGGTCAGATGGTTCTGGTTAAACTGCTATCCTTGACAATTAGGGAAAAATGCAAACTATGGTTTTCTGAGCCCAGAGGTTTGGCTCAGCTGAGTTCAAGAAAGCAAACAGATGTGCAAAGCTTACTTTGCACATTACAGTAATTTATCATGGATCCAAGGAAAAATCAATGGGAAAATAGCATGAGAATTTAGCTTCATCCCTTCAAATGTGTACTTAACTCTTTATCAGGATGTCTATGGAGATTCTCAATCATCCAGGTCATGGATGTCCCAAAATTGCTTTTCAAAAGGCAATTTTCTTAACCCAGTTGCCTTTTGAAAAGCACTTTTGGAGACTCTTATTAGGATCTTGGTGGAAAGAATATGCCTGCTTCTCCCAGCATTTCTTCACATCAAGTTTTCCTTACCAGAATAAAGTCTGTCTGATAGGTGGAGAGCATAAACACTGAGATATTCTGATTGGCTAGTGGAGCAATGACTGATTTGGCAATTTTGGTCACACCGATAGGCTGAGAGCCGGAGAAGCCACCTCCTCCCGAGACGACGTTGAGGGCCAGCCATGTTGCATCTGCTACGCTCAAGTGTTCTGATGAAGGGAGCTCTGAAATAGAAGCACAGAAAAACAATTTTATTTATTGACTTTCAAGGAGAAGAACATAAGCACTGCCCTGTTGGATTGGACCTCTTCGTCCACCTTGGTCAGCAGTCTGTTCTCACAGTGGCTAACCAATTGAACAAGGAAGCCCACAAGTCTCCCAGCAGATGTCCTTCAGAGGCAGTCAAAATAACAGAGTAACAGTGTTGGAAGGAACCCTGGAGGTCTAGTCCAACCCCCTTCTCAAGCAGGAGATCCTATACCATTTCAAATAAATGGTTGTCCAATCTCTTCTTAAAAACCTCCAGTGAGGGAGCACCCACAACCGTTCCACTGGTTAATTGTTCTCACTGTCATGAAATTTCTAGGTTGAAACTCTCCTTGATAAGTTTTCATCTTTACTTCTTGTTTTTCCCTCAGGTTCTTTGGGGAGTAAGTTGACTCCCTGTCCTTTGAGACAGCTCCTTAGATATTGGAACACTGCTATCATGTCACCCCTAGTCTTTCTTTCCATTAGACTAGACTTACCTAGTTCCTGCAACAGTTCTTCATATGTTTTAGCCTCCAGTCCTCTAATCGTCTTTGTTGCTCTTCTCTGCATTCTTTCTAGAGTCTACTTCCCTCAAAGTTAAGAGCTATTGATCCCTACTAGTTCCATGAATTGTTCCAAACTCTTTTCAAAGCCAGCCAAGGTGACAGCCAGCACCACCTCTCATGGATGAATTGAGCTACAAAACAGTAAGGATGTTCTGAAGTATAATCAACAAAAAACATTCCCAAATATTTTAAAATTAAACTACTGCTCAGGTGTGAGTGCCTCCTTGGTCCCACAAGAATAAGTGTCTTATATTTGAGCATTCAAGGAATATTTATGCAATGCAAACAACCAAGACTACACAAATGCAACTTATCATGAGACCTTTCAGAGGCCAAAGCACAATACCTATATCAAACTATGAGGAAGATCTGCATCAGTCTCTTTACATACACAATCATAGTGGGAATCATGACTAATGTATCCTAAAGGCATAGGAAGAGCACTAAGATAGGATCAGGATGAAGGTCTGTCTAATCCAGCACTATGACAAGCAATATAGAGATGCAGCTTCCTGGTTCTGATAATGACGACCATAATCCACAGTATACTTAATCTTTTATGTAATCCAATTTTTTGCAAGTTGGCAGAACTGTCCAGTTACAGAGCTGATTTTAACTAATGGAACACTACTATATTGTTCTCTATTTGGATGGATATGGATTTAAAATGATTTTAAAAAAATCCAAGGTCCAAAAACAGGAACTTCTTTGTAGGTTTAATATGCCTTTTAGAATGACCATCTGCCCACAAATCCCATCAAAACTTTATGTTACCTCCCCTACTATTTACTCTATATCATTATTATACCCATGTACTGTTTAAAGCCCATATAGAAAGACCATCTCTCCCTGGTTGCATCAGCCAATCCCATCAGATCTCACGGAGAAGGCATGCTACGGGTACCATTGGCTAGAGACTTATATCTGAGAGGTTCCAGGAGATGCACTTTCTCACTGTTGCACCTGCCTTATGGAACATTATTTCCCCTGAAATTAGATTGGCCCTATCCCTTTTGATCATAAAGCCCTCAAGACCTAGTTTTGCTGTCAAGGGACCTAGGGCTCCCAAGGGACCAAATGTGACCTGATGGCTCCATCCAGGGTTAGTATTATGCTGGTTATTTATTTATTTATTTATTGCTATTTATGCTACTGAGAGCCAATTTGGTCTAGTGGTTAAGGCACCAGACTACAAGCCAGGAGACTGTGAGTTCTAGTCCTGCTGGGTGTCTTTGAGCCAGGCACTCAATCTCAACTCAACCCACCTCACAATGTTGTTGTTGTGGAGAAAGGAGGAGGAGGAGGAGGAGGAAGGAGTATTATTATAAAAATAATAAATGCAGGATAAAAATCTAATAAATAAATAAACATTGGAATTCTTTAACTGTCAGCGTCCTACCTGACTGATGTAATGGGATGAAGATGGTTCTATAGGTAACCTGGCCTTATACCGTACAGGGCTTTAAAGATAATAACCAATACTTTGAATTGAACCCAGAAGCAAAGCAGCCCCCAATGTGAGTTGCGCAGCAGAGGTGTTATAGGCATTGTCCTTGGAGCACCCAAGATTGGTCATGCTGCTTTTGTAACAGCTGAAACTTCTGGGAAGTTTTCAAGGGTAAATTAAAACAGCTTAGGTTAAACGGAAACAGTTTTCTATTTATGGAAGGACAGATTTTTATTAAGTTCTGAAGCAAACAGGCTTGTATATGTCTACATGCACGCACATATGTTGGTGTGTGTGTTTCCTCTAACTTTTGGTTGCTGGATTGTAGTAAAAACAGAATTGATCCCACATGTTTGAGTCACGCACCCAGAGTAAGAAAAGGGCTCCATAACTATTTCCCAAACAGTGATTCAAGCATTAAGAGTCAATATTTACCAAGAAAATATATTACATTTAAATGTTGCATTTTCTCTGATTGAGCCTTATTATTAGCAACTTCCCTTTAGAGCCTGCATCCAAATAATGATTAAAATGCTTCTTTTTTTTAAAAAAAAAAAGTCCAAAGGTGAAAACCATATTCTGCATTAGCTTCCCCGGATAGATGGAATTTGATTAGCTAACACCTTCATTAAAAACATAAAGTCAAAATGATATTCAGTTTTCTCTTAGACCAATACTGCAATGTTGTAAGCCACTTAGAGTCCTTGTGGCGAGATGGGCAGCAAACAAATTTAATAAATAATAAATAAATAAATGCATCTTTATTTGGTAATCAAAACAATGTATGAGGTACTTGCATAAGTATGTATTTGCCTCCGTATGTATATGTTACGTTGGCATAATTGGATTTCAAAACTTCTGAAACCGAAGCTTGCTACCCTCTCGTTTGCCTAAGCAGACTGCACCTCATCAACAAGGCATCTATTATTAAAAGACAAAAATAATAGAAAATGGTTGAATTGCAATTTCTGGATACTGTTCTTGGCAGGCTGATGGGTGGAAAAGTACGATTCAGGTTTACGGTAAAACAAGCAAAGTTTAAAAAGTGATTAAGCGTAGCTGAGAATGACCTAATTGAATGTGTGGGTGTATTTTTGTATTCAAGAGACTGTGAAATATACAGAGTACAAACAGTGCCCTGGATTCCAAAACTTAGCATGACTGTATTGGGGGGTTCCAGAAGGCAGAAGAATTTATTAAAAAGGAAGTAAACAAGCAGGATGCTCTTGGCAAGGAGAGAGGGACTCCTGCTTTCCATTTTTAATTTAATAAATAAATAAATAAAACTAATAACACTGGAGCACCACTTGAACACCATCAGCATTGATAAATCAATCGATCTTGGGTTGATTTGATTGTAATTTGTTTGTTTGATGGTTGTGAGTCACCAAGAGTCCTTGAGAGTTGAGTGGCATACAAAGTTAAGTAATTACATTGGCGGGATCCAGGAGAAGAGCCTTCTCTACCATGGCTTCAAGCCAAATGGCAGAGCCAAGTCTTCGGGCCCTTATGGAAGATCAGGAGGTGGGTGCAGATCTCACCTAACCTCCAAGGAACATCTTATCTCCTTTGGGTGAGATTTGCACCCACCTCCTGACCTTCTGTAAGGGCCTGAAGACCTGGCTCTGCCATTTGGCTTGGAGCCCCAACAGGGGGAGTATTACGCTGGAAGAGGTTGATGGACCAATAGAGGAGATTTAATTATCAGGTGTATCTTTATTATTAGAAATATTTATTTTTTTATGGTTTTATTACTTTTAATGTTGTAAGATGCCCAGAGTCTCTTTGTGGCAAGATGGGCGGCTAATAAATTTAAAAAGCAAGCAAGTGAACAAGCAAGCAAGCAAATACAATTTAAATATATAAAGAACGCTTGCAGGAATTGAGCATGTTTAGTTTAATGAAAAGAAGGACCAGGGATGACATGATAGCAGTCTTCCAATATCTGAAGGGCTGCCACAAGGAAGAGGGGGTCAACCTATTCTCCAAAGCAACTGACAAGAGAAATTTTCTGACAGTGAGAACAATTAATCAGTGGAATGACTTGCCTCCAGAAGTTGTGAATGCTCCAACACTGGAAGTTTTTAAGAAGAGACTGGACATCCACTTGTCTGAAATGGTATAGGTTCTCCTGCTGAGTGAATGGTTGGACTAGAAGACCACCAAGGTCCCTTCCAGCCCTGTTATTCGGTTAAATAAATAAAATTTATACTAACATTTGAGCACCACTTGAACACCATCAACACTGACAAATTCACCATCAGTCAACTGCAAAAGGCAGTTTTACTGGGAACAGCTTACAACCTACGACGATACCTCTAACAACATCAAACATCAATATTTGCCTCTCTCATGTCCTTGGGAAGGATGCGATAAGTGGACAAAAATGCCAAATTCAGTCTGAACATCTGGCAAACCAAACTAATATACCATTCCCCTTACCCCATTCCCCTTACGCCATTTTCTGCCTATCCGAAAAAAATCAAAAAGAAGTTCTTGGCTTTTTCACTAACGGAAGAGGTCTTAGAAAGATTTACCTGCAAAGCACAACTGAAACAGATCGTGAACCCATGAGACAATCTTGATGGGCTCATGAATGAATGGCCACCCAACAGTGTTAGCAGAAAATGCTGCAGGTAGTTTTTCTAATTCTTTTCCAATGTGTTTCTCAATCTCTTTTGATATTACTATACTTCCATTCGCTTAGCAGTTATCTCCTTGGAACTGCTACTGTGCATGGTGGCTGCTGGAGCAAAATAGGTAGGCTCAAAGGAGAGTTTTTGTATTGCTACATGAGTCAGATATAGCATCTATTATAGCTCACACCTTCGCTGCATTCATGATTATTCCCACGATTCTGCCTAATGCATCCCCAGGCTCCATACAATGCAAGTAATCCTTGACCTATGACTGTAATTGAGCCCAGAATTGGTCATAAGTCGTTGTGGTCATTAAACAAGTT